ATGAAATATATAAATATATATATATATATAAATATATAATATATATATATAATATATATAATATATATATATATATATATATATTATATATACATACATACATATTGTATGTATGATTAGTGTGTTTCCTTCTTTGGGTCACCTTGCCTTAGTGAGTAACGACCAGTATCTAAAAAATTCCTTTGCCACATCAACTATTTCCCACCTAAGTATTTTGACTCAAAGGAGGAAGTACATTCACCATCATTCACTTAATAGATGTCTTGTCAGAAATGTGTAGAATCACAACTGAAATGCAGCATCCCCCACCCATCAAGAGTGTAAGCCACTGTACTTCCCATCTCCAGAACTAAAGCTTGGCTAACCGGTTTGCCCTGAATCTTTTAATATTTCCTTGCTCACAATTGCCTACTGGAGGCACTAGTACCTACCAAACAAAACCTCCTCTCTCTTCATCCCACTGGGATTTTTTTTTTTTTTACCCCCCTCTATCCACCCTAAATTTATACATCCCTCATGTCTAAATGGCCAAACCATCCCAAAAACCCCTCCTCCACATTCTAAATCACACCTTACCTAATTTATATGCTCATTACTATGCATAATTTTCATGCCATACAATGATCTCAGAAATACTTCCACTGCCTCCAGCCTCCTCATCACTGCAACATTCAAATATCATACTTCTCACCCATACAAACAATACTCGTAAGCTTTTTTTTGGCCTTTTATTAATATACTTTCCACGAGATGACTTGGCACTCCACCTATCACTGCTCTCAGCTCTATACAATAACTCACTCTCATGCACCAATCTGCCAACACATCTAAAAACATTCCCTTCCTCCATACGCCCTCTAATATTACATCCTAGCTAGCCTTGCCTTTATTTTTGCACTTATCACTTTCTTCTTTTCTGTTTGCTCTTGCCTTCCTTCTTTTACACACCCTCCCCAGCACCATCCTCAACAACTGTGACAACTGCCCCATCATAACAGATTAACCATTCAGTGGCCATAGTACAGATCTACATTACTGATGCCAGGGTCCCTCCTGTAGAGTTGTATTTTGAACGCAGCTCCCTCGGATAAGCTGCGAGTGGTAAAATTTGGCCTCAATACGAGAGAATGTTTGTGCAGTGAGTGTGCACAGTACAAAAAGTCCTGCCCTACGTGGTTCATGATAGGAAAGGCCAAAACTTTGACCTTGTGTTTGGCTTAAAATAGTGACTTTTGGGAGTTTTCTAGGTTGATTTTTATGGTTTTATTGGCTGTTTCTTGGTATTATTTGATAGAATGGAAGATATACTACTGAAATGGGTGATTTTGGCTGGTTTCAAAACCGGAAGTAGCTTGAAATTGCGCTCAAAGCAGCGGATACATCAGATTTTCCCGGGGACAGATAAAACCCTTACACCGTAGTCTGTTTGGCGAGTTTCTAATAGGTCTGATTCAATTACTGGAATGCCACAGATCATGACCAATCATTCCCAGTTACATTTTATTATCTAAGAAATAGGGTAAATTTTCACGTTTTCTGTGATGATGAATTGAATATGGAAGGCAAGTGTACTATAGGAATTGAATTCTTTCCTCTGTAAGCCATGCATGTCGTAAGAGGTGACAAAAATGCCAGGAGCAAGGGGCTAGTAACCCTTTTCCTGTATATATTACTAAATGTAAAAGAAGAAACTTTTGTTTTTCCTTTTGGGCCTTGCTGGGATACTGCCGGTGAGTTGAAAGAAAACAAACAAACAAGCAAACACACACACACACACACACACACACACACACACACACACACACACACACACACACAATATATATATAAATGCAAAATACACACAAACACAACAAATATTAATGTCTTTTGGCAAATATTAAATGTTGCCACCTAATTTATTTTGTAATACACTAGAAACTGCTGAAGACCATACTCATTAATTAAATAAAATTTATGTAATGCCAGTGCAATACATCAATCAGTGATAAGCTTCACAAAATCAAGTCACACAGAAAGCAGTCCCCACAGCAAACTTTGTAGAGAATATTAATACCATGAGTGGAAGCCCAGTAAAGGACTTGAGACACAGAAATATCTGCTATGTTCTTTCATGCCTCAATGAATGTTTGGATAAAGAAACATTTGATCATTGAACATGCAATGTTTCATGCTACCCATTCACTGGCTACATTACACTTAACGTACATTACACTTCATAATAGATATGACAATTATTAATGTACATTACACTTAATAACAAACCACAAAAAAGAGCAGCATCAAGAAACGATAATGGCGATTTTTTTTAAATTGTTATTGGCTGCTGTTAAAATGAGCAATGAGGGGAATTAGAGAGAGCAATAGTAAGAGTGGTCTTAGAATGTACACATAACAACACTATGAGCAACCACAGTGGCCGCCCCCACTGCTGTGGGTCGTACCTGGGCATGAGCTTGAGCTTGAGCCTGGTAGGCTTTATTGTGTTGTGTCATGAGGAGGGAGTGGTTGTGAGATGGGTGGTTGGAGGGATGGTGGTTGGTCAAGCCGTGGACGTAATAGGCCTGGTTGAGGTGGTCGGCTGGCCTGTGAAGCACGCTCTCTCCACCATGCTACAACAAACCATACACCCCTCATCAGACAAGTCTACCCACCCGCCACAACCTACACCTCTCTCGCAGGCACACAATAACTAAATACCTTCGTAACTTGAATTCCACCAGTAGTTATTGTAACTGAAAATAATATATAAAAAGCAAAGGGTTGGGAACTTTCAAATTCCACTTCCAAGGCCTTTAACAGCAAGCAGTTCTGAAAACAGGTGTGTATAAAAACTATGCTTCTTAATAAAATATATCATCTACCCAAAATTAGAAATAGCATATGACAAAAACATGTAATTTTAATGTATTTCTCTCACTTTCTATACATACAATATGAATTTACTTTGATCTAATTTTTATATAATCACAAAATATGATCCCATTTTATAGAAAACAAAGAAATTTATAAATATATTGTGGCACTTGAATAATACAGCTTCTATTTATACCACAATGCTTAGGTTCCCTGAGCACAATACCATAGTCAAAATTGCATTGGTGGGTATATTTCAATAATGATTTTTCTGTATGAACTATACATGGAATTCTTCAAGATTTTCTTAAGCACTTTTCAGTACTTCTCTTAAGATGGTTATGTAGCATTCCAGCTTGCTGGACAGACTGCAAGCTATGGTTGGTGTACATGTTTCAGATTGAAGGCAGTAAGGGTAATGGAAGTTTAGTGGGAACTTTAGCAGATAGTAAGGGTAGGGTTGCTAGTGTGGACAAGATGCTTTATGAAAAATAGTATATTATATGCTGTATTGGTAACTTATGCTTATCACCATATTGATGAGATGTTATCACCAACACTGATAAAGACCTGTACTATAATACAACAGTGAGATGCAATTATGAATGCCCAGAAACTTTCAGAAAACCAAGGAAAACAAGATTACCTATCAACTCTTAACTTAATGTGAACTTCTCACTTTTCACATTACTACAAAATGTCCATTAATAACATCTACCACCTTAACTTCCATCTACTCCTAAGGATAATGAAGGTGACTTTTACATGAAAACTGATGACAATGGAATACTAATCAACAATTTACAACAAAACCATCAGTATGGAACTCATTTATAAGACATCAATACACAACTCAAACCCACTTAACTAAATTTCATACTAAATATTAATGTTGCTCCTAATGACCAAGGAATACCAAGGTAAATGGATAGAGAAAAACATTCTTCTGCCAAAGTCAACAATAACCTATAAATCAGATAAAAAGTGCATCTTGACAAATGTGGGCGAGTAATAAATATTCTAATATTAACATTTTATCGTTACAAAAGTAATGACTTATTATTATTAAAAGTACTGCATAAGTTTTGACAAGTATTCAACCTTCCTAGTAAATATAATTGTTAACGAATAAAAATGTATAAGCTTAGTAACAAACCAGAAAGCATAACACCCCTTTCAATCACTGTGTTTCAGCTCTCAAAGCCCTATACAAACTGTCAGTCACCTTTCCACACCTCAGCTTTCCACTGGCTACAAATTTCCTCTTGAATAAATAAATCACAAGTAAAAATCATATAAATACGAATCTCCAATAATCTTTGCCATACTAATAATATCTCTTCCAAACTTTTTCACTTATACCAATGATGTATTATATAGAAGCTACAGACACATCCTTCAGCAAATGAATCAAGTCTATCCTGACCATCTCCTATAGACACAGCAGCAGCAGTTGCATACCTCCCTATCATGCAATGAAAAATCCTCAAAGTAAAACCTGCCCAAGGTAAATTAAAAAATAATATTAACTAAGTATGACTGGGCAAAACAATAAAAATAACTTATTCAATCTTTTGTACAGATCTTTTGTAGAAGTCTGAATTCCTTTCTTGACAGTCAATGCATTTATTTATATAGCTCTCCTTAATTCATCTCTAACACATTCATACCACTGAACAACAAACTCAAATAACTGCCCACAAAAAAATTAGGTTGAATAATACTTGCTTTCAAGCTGTTCATTGTAACAAATAATTCTAAACTATGTGCTTTCTCAAATAGGTAAGTTTTTCTTTACCTTCTGCTGGGCAAGGCGGAATGACTTGTTAAAATGTTGATCCACCTGGAACTGCTGCCGCTCCTTCTCCTCCCTCTCGCGTCTCTCTTTTTCTCTCCTCTCCCTCTCTTCCCTCTCTCTTCTTTCCCTCTCAGTTCTTTCTCTTTCAGTTCTTTCCCTCTCCATTTTCTCTTTATTAATCCTTTCCTTCTCACGGGCTTCAGCCTCACGCCTTTCCCTGTAAAACACAAGGTAATAAAATTATGAGAATATATAGTCTTTAAAATAGCAGAAGAAAAAATGGAAGGGGGTGGGAGGGTAGAACCTTTAACTACAATGATTTATTAAAAAAAAAAATCAATAAATTTTCCAACAAAAAAATATATTTAAGAATAAAGTTGTTCTGTGCACATTCTCTGTAATGGTGATTTTCACTTCCGAAGTCAATACAGCATTTCTTTAGACATCTGACTTAAAACCTTTCTATTGTGCCCTCAATCACAAATATCAAATTTTCGGATGATTCAAGCCATTTATTTATCTTGCCCCGTGAATACTACCAGTATGAATATTTTGTAGTGCATACAATATTTTTAAAATTCCAAGAAATATTTCTCTCAAAAATGAATAGCCACAAAAAATAATCATAATACCGAAACCACGTACAATACCACAAAATGCTGAACTCCACATATGATAGCTATTGAGAACACAACTTTATTAACCCTTAACTGTCCAAACAGATCGACGTTCAAATCCGTAGTGCTCCAAAAGTAGATCTACGTTTTTTTTTACATATTTTCAAATACATAACAAAAAAAATGTAGATAAAAGTTTTTTTACACATTTTCAAATGTAAAAAAAAAAGATCTACATTTTTTTACATACTTTCAAATGTTAAAAAAAATGTAGATCTACGTTTGGACAGTTTAAGGGTTAAATACAGGTAGAATAAGGAAAAGATCTAGGAGTACAATAAAAGCTACAAGATAGTATTACAAGTGCACATAAAATAAGGTGGGATAAAAATTTTCTTAAGATATACGAAGCCAAGAATACATAGCTGCCAACTGGTGCAACTATGTATAGTATTTTCAAGACAAGAGGTATGACAGGTGTTGCAAAGCAACCCCAACAAGCAACTATATGTTTGCAAGGTCATCTGCACTGAGCTTAACCCTTTCAGTGTCAAGACCCTTGATCCTCAGCTCACTCTCCAAGTCGAAAAATTAAAAAAAAAAAAAATCTTATGAAATGATAAGAGAATCTTTTCCTGATAGTGATGACACCAAAAGTACGAAATTTGATGGGAAACTTATGAAATTACACTCTCGTGAAGTTAGCGCTCTAGGTGAAATCACCCACTTTGAGCCCTATTTTCGGCCAATTCTTTTGTTCCAGTAAACTATAATCAGAGCTATTTCACTAGAACTTAATTTGGTCTATCGATTAAGTACAAGAAAGCATCCATTTACCGATTTCAACTACCCAATAAAGTGGTCAGAAATTGGCAATTTGGCTAATTTCACACAAATTTCAAAAGATTCCAATTTCAAAATAGGGTCCAGAATAAACAAGGCAGACATTCCCAGCACTAAAATAAAATTTTCTCTGTTGAAGATTGAGGCACTTATGCAACATATGGGAATCTTTATTCAGGAAACGTTTCGCCACACAGTGGCTTCATCAGTCCAATACAAAGTAGAAAGGCGTAAGGAGAGGAGGAGTTTGAGGTAATCAGTCCCTCAGCCTGGGGTCGATGTGTTCAGTCAATCAATCTTGTAGAATGTACAGAGTAGGGCCGTAGATGTGGCTTATGTACTGTAGTGAGGTGAGGCGAAGCAGGAGGTGGGGTCATAGTGGTATCATCCACTAGTCGAAGTAGGTCTTCGTCCAAAGGTTGGACAAGTGTTGAAGAATTCTTTGTAACAAGATCCCATGATGCTGCAGTGTCTGTTCATTAGTCACATCTTCAGGCCCCTCTTATATTACTTTCCCTTACCATTTTGAATTTTTATTCTCACAAAAAATAGAAGATTTACTGTTATGCAGGCATTATCATAATAATTGTATAAATAATGTCAACCAATTCATGACTGCATATTAGACTAGCCAGTTAGACACATACTGAACAGTGACCATTTGTTTACTCTTGAACAACGGCAAAAATCGAACATTTTCACTTTAAGCTCAATTTAACATAAGAACATAAGAAAGGAGGAACACTGCAGCAGGCCTGTTGGCCCATACTAGGCAGGTCCTTTACAATTCATCCCACTAACAAACATTTGACCAACCCAATTTTCAATGCCACCCAAGAAACAAGCTCCGATGTGCAAGTCCCTCTCAAATCCAACCCCTCCCACTCATGTACTTATCCAACCTAAATTTGAAACTACCCGAAGTCCTAGCCTCAATAACCCAACTAGGTAGACTGTTCCACTCATCAACTACCCTATTTCCAAACCAATACTTTCCTATGTCCTTTCTAAATCTAAACTTATCTAATTTAAATCCATTACTGCAGGTTCTCTCTTGGAGAGATATCCTCAAGACCTTGTTAATATCCCATTTATTAATATCTATCTTCCACTTATACACTTCGATCAGGTCTCCCCTCATTCTTCGTCTAACAAGTGAATGTAACTTAAGAGTCTTCAATCTTTCTTCATAAGGAAGATTTCTAATGCTATGTATTAATTTAGTCATCCTACGCTGAATGTTTTCTAACGAATTTATGTCCATTCTGTAATTTGGAGACCAGAATTGAGCTGCATAATCTAGGTGAGGCCTTACTATGATGTATAAAGCTGCAGTATGACCTCTGGACTTCTGATGCTTACACTTCTTGATATAAATCCCAGTAATCTATTTGCCTTATTACGTACGCTTAGGCATTGCTGTCTTGGTTTAAGGTTGCTGCTTACCATAACCCCCAAGTCCTTTTTGCAATCTGTATGGCTAAGTTCTACATTATTTAACTTATAAGTGCTAGGGTTATGGACACTCCCGAGCTTCAGAACCTTGCATTTATCTACATTGAAACTGCATCTGCCACTTTTCTGACCAAGAGTAGAGTTTGTCTAAATCCTCCTGAAGTTCCCTAACATCTACGTTTGAATCAATTATCCTACCTATCTTCGTGTCATCGGCGAATTTGCTCATATCACTAGTAATTCCTTCATCAAGATCATTGATATATATTATAAACAACAACGGGCCCAAGACTGATCCCTGTGGAACGCCACTTGTTACTGATCCCCACTCGGATTTAACCCCATTTATGGACACTCTCTGCTTCCTGTCTGTGAGCCATGATTCGATCCACGAGAGCACTCTTCCCCCAATGCCATGAGCTGCTACTTTCTTCAAGTCTTTGGTGCAGAACTCTATCAAATGCCTTACTAAAATCTAAGTAAATAATATCAAATTCTTTATCGTGGTCAACAGCCTCAAAAGCTTTACTGAAGAAAGTTAATAAATTAGTTAGACAAGACCGGCCTCTTGTGAATCCATGCTGAGTATTATTAATCAAGCTATGCTTATCGAGATGGCTTCTTATAATTTGAGCTATAATTGACTCTAGTAATTTGCCTACAATTGAGGTCAGGCTTATTGGGCGGTAATTTGACGGTAACGACTTGTCCCCTGTTTTAAAAATAGGAATTTCATTAGCCATCTTCCACATATCAGACACTACACCTGTTTGAAGAGATAAATTAAAAATATTAGTTAATGGTTCACAGACTTCCATTTTGGTAGGTAAGACACATAGGCAACAGTTAGGCAACTTTATTCCGAAACGTTTCGCCTACACAGTAGGCTTCTTCAGTCGAATACAGAAAGTAGGCAGGAACAGTAGAGATGTGAAGACGATGTAATCAGTCCATCACCCTTGAAGTCGTAGAATTTGAGGTTGTCAGTCCCTCGGCCTGGAGAAGTTCAGTTCCATAGTCAGGAATTATCTGAAGATCAAGCGACAGTGTGGAGACTTAAATACTGTCGGAAGGAGAGGTGCAGAGTAGTAGTAGTAGTAGTGAGAGTGTAGCCACTGAGAGGTCAGGTCCCTCTCAGATCCAACAGTCCTCACTTGAAAGGGTTGTCAAAGGCGTTTTCTGTACCAAGAGGCCATGTGTTGCAGTGTCTGACAAGATGAACATCAAAATGGTCCACAACACCGACAGGCTGGTAGGTAAGACACATAGGCAACAGCCAGGCAACCCCACTCCGAAACGTAAGACACATAGGCAACAGCCAGGCAACCCCACTCCGAAACGCTTCGCCTACACAGCAGGCCTCCCCAGTCGAACACAGAAAGCAGGCAGGAACAGTAGAGATGCGAAGACGATGCAATCAGTCCACCACCCCTGAAGTCGCAGAACCTGAGGTGGTCAGCCCCTTGGTCCGGAGAAGCTCAGTTCCACAGCCAGGAACCATCTGGAGACCAAGTACCAAGGTACTTTTCATCGTGAAACCAATCAAAATCATCTCCATTTCTCTAATATATCTTCCATTCTATCAAATGAGACCAAGAAAACGAGAATACAACCATAATTACCATACAAAAAACACCGCAAATTCGCTGTTTTAAACCAAAAAAGGGGTTGGAGTTTTTTCTCATGCACTGCGTGCTGCAGGATATTTTTTTTATACTGCACACACTGACCATGCAGACACATTCTTTCATATGTAGGCCTACCAGCTTTCTTCCACCAGATCTGAAGGTGCTAGAATTCTGGCATAGTACTACGGGACTGATGCTGGCTCTCAAACCATAGTACTACAGGACCGACACAAAGGGTTAACACACAAATATTATAGTTAATGGTACTTCTGAGTAAGCCACCATTATCTCTATGAAAGTACCATCTGTTGAAGACACAAGGAATCTTCAGGCAGATATAAATCAAATCATTAAGAGGGCCTCTGATAACAGTATGATGTTCAGACGCCAAGTTTCAGTTGCTCCACTATGAAGGAATGGAGGAAATAAAGACTACAATGGAGTACAGGACAAATTCAAATCATTCAACAGAGCAAAAGTCCCACGTACAAGACCTGGGACTAATGATGTCAGATAATGTAACGTTCAAGGATCACAACAATGTTGCCATTGCTACTACAAGGAAAATAACAGCCTGGATAATCTACAACTTTGGTTCAGAATCCCTTGTCTTGAATAATACAGTGGAACCTCTACTTACAAGTGCATCCACATGCGAGTTTTTCCAGATACGA